AAAAAAAAAAAAAAAACAAGAGAAGACAAATTCCAAATTTTAATATTAGGAATTCATGGAAATTCATTAGAAGTGCCCAACACTTCTCATTGAAAAAAAAAACATATCAAACACATTAAACAGTATTGTCATCTGATTTGCTTTTGTGTGTCCTGAAACACATTAAGAATACCCCATTCTAGTGCATGGTTTCAACATTTGGTGTCTGCATAGCAACTGCATTGCACAGAATGCATTTCATCATCCTGTCTGGTCACCAGTCATTCCCCTTTCCAGATACCCCAGTTTCATTTCTGTTCATGCACAGTCATCAGCCTTTTGCAAGAGGCTTCAAATCTATAAAAATGGTTGTGTACATGTCAGTTTTACTCATTGCTGGAGTCTTTCTATATGTTCCTGAAATATGTATCCACCCAAACATTTGTATAGAGAAGTCAAAATCATTTACAACATTTCTGGCCATAAAAACAAATCTTCTCAAGTTAAAAGTTATACCTAATGGATCAGATATACAGGAAAGAACAATTGAAGTTCACAGGGACATCTGAGAATGGAAATAAATCTATTTTATTGACAACCCAACAACATAGGATGGCAGTAACATGCGTATGTTCCAACATACAATTATACTTGTATCAACATGGTTTGATAAGTAATCATGTCCACCTCTCAATACCCCACTGCTTAAACATTGATAAATTTTCAAACACTGGGAAAGTTCTTAATTCAAAATAAAGTAGAACATCACACAAATTTCGTTGTAAGCATGAATATATTATAACGAGATTCACTCAAAACGTGTTCAGCAAACTTCAAAGTTTTGGTTTTATATGACATGAGAAAAATATCAAGGGCACACGCCCAGAATATTCTCGTGCATTTTCTTCTTGGCAAATTATCTAGAAGTTTACCCTAGCAACGCAGGAAAAATGGCAATCAGTACCCTGCTCTTTCATATTTTGTCATGTCAAGCTAAGTACTTGGCAAGCTTGCTACACAATAAATGAAGATACAGTACTCCGAGATGACCAGGATCAAGAAGGGATAGTGTAGGTTTTCTTTTCAGCAAAATAAGCAAATATTTCAAAATTAATGTATGAACAACATGCGGTTTTATTTTAGCGCAATGATGAAAAGGGATAGTATAAAGAAAATGGTCACTTGAAGAAAAAACAATGCAAGTACATTACATAACTCAAATAAAAAAGGAGTCTCATGTGCGCTTTTTTTTCTGTTGCTCACAAGTAGAGAAAAACATCCAAGTGAAAGAACACTCTTGAAAATTACTCCATCACCTGTCATTTCACTGGATCTAAGCGTGACCTGTCTTTTAAATACCTTACTGAATCAAAGACAATTTTTGAGTCAAATTTCCCTTATTAAAATTTTGAAGGCCTTCTTATTATTAAATTAGGTCTAAATTTTGGGATGCCACTTTTAGAAAGTATATTTTATGATAAATGTACTCTAATTCAGAGTCCAAATCAGAATAATTGTGTGCTTATTGTTTCAATTTGTTCCCCATCATTTGAGCACAGTATATCAAGACATGTACATGTTCTTTGCATTTTGGCTGCCTTTGCATGCCAAAAGGTAAGATCATGCGCTTTTCTCTTATGCTACTGTTAGTTTCTGTACCTTAAAGCAAAAAAAATTCCTATTTTACAAGGGGAGTTTTTCTTAATTTGCTTTAAACAGTAGAACCAATCAAATATATTCTCATTGAAGTCTATGGGAAAACAAGATCTGAAGTGCAGATAATCAGACATATACAGAGACAAGGTCCAAGCACCATCTATTATGTCCGCATCTTGGGGCCCCAAAATGCATTGCGCCTGTGGCAAATATTTTCAACAGCCATATTAATTTGGCATGCCAGAATTAGAGAACCCAAATTCTTGGTAATATTCTTCTTTCATTTCATCTTTGTGAGAACCTTGGAAGACATTGGTTTTCATGGATATTTCTAAGCCTTCAAGTCTGGATTTTATTGCTAAAATCCTGCTGCTGTTTTTCATCCTTGAAGGACAGTTTTCTTGGTTTCCAAAATCTGAAAAATTGACACAGTCTGTCTAAAGCGTTTGTGAGCATTCTTGGTGATTTTTGCAAAAACCATTTTGTTGTTATTTGTGTAGAATTCAAACCTCAAAGTAAACCAACCTTATCATAGGGTGAATTCTCACCCCAGTTGTAGCCTGACCAAACTCTTGTGTTTCATTTATAAATTTATACTTATATCACTAAAACTTAATTTCATTCTTTATTTGTAGAGGATTTATTCCTCACAGCGCCAGTGACTGAACAACACAGGACTGAAACACTTTAAATTGGAATCATTTACTGCTGCAATTGCTTCAATTCTGGGTTATGCTGCAATTCTTGTTACTGATATTTTGTTTTCAATGTCATGGAAGAAAGGGGTGTTTGCATACATATCAGTTGTGCAGTTGTATTTTGTGGAATGTATTTTCTTTTACTTTTGTTATCCATATGCATATAATTTCTTTGTTTCCCATTCTGAAGTGAATGAATGTCTCTGAATGGATTTGGGTTGTGGGGGGAGGGGGTTTGGATGTGGGAATGTTTATTGAACCTTGTGAATGCTGAAAAGCGGATAACAAAGCTTTCTGTTCATTCATTCATTCATTCAAACACTTTTTTCTGTTTCATTACCAATCCAAAAATCAGAAACCTTTCCCTTTTTTAATCAATCATCTGCAGCAGCTTCAGAACAAACCAACAAAAAATCCCAAGACACAAATAAAATGAAACTTCATGACTCACCCTCGTCAAGTAAATAGACCTGGGTGCCACATGAATGTTCATCAAGTAGTAGACAACCCGACTTTGAATGTGGCCCTCGTGTCGATGCACCACGATTTTGTGCCCAGTGTTGATGATTTTGAGAAAGGACAAGTGCTTCTCTTCCGCCTCGTCCATAGTCTGATAACTGTCCTGATAATGTTTGATACGCAGCAGAAAATCGGCCAAAGCCTCGTCCTTGTTATTGATCACTTCGTAATCCGGTCCATGAACTTTAACTTCCTGCAAGAACACAAAACGAAAAAAAAACAGCGTTGACGAGTTTCTCGGGAATTTTTTCTTCTTCAGAAATGAGCAACGAAACAACAAGAATTCTAGTTAGCATCTTCTGGGAAATAAGGGGCAAAATGAGAAGACGAAAAAAACATTGGGCATCACTGTGCGAAATATGTGATGAGATACAGTAGACATCTTCCAACTGAGGCTTCCAGGAATTCGGAGAATGCAACTTGTCGGGACACGATTTCTGCTGGTAAGGATAAAAATCTTACGACTGGGTCTTCTCGGAAATTGGGGGAAAAACTTGTTGGAACATGCAGAATCCTAGACTACACGAGTAGACAAGTATCTCTTGAATTGATGATAGAAAATCTCACTTTTCTCGCCTGTCAGGTATTGGAATGAGAATCACCTTGTGGGTCAAGACCACAAAAACGCAATCCAAAATTTATTGAACCACAATTCAAAATATGTATCCAAGAATTTTAAAATTGTGGCTGAAGTCTGCTTCATTTAAATCGACTTAATTCTAAGTCGACCGACATATTTTTATTCCAAAATATGCGCAGGGTTTTAGATAATTGATGCAAAAAGTGAAATGTGCGATTTGTTTTTTGCATATCGAGTTTGCATAAATTTCCGGTTATTTCTGCCACGGGAGGACAATTTCAAGCTTAAACAGAACTTTCGTAGCTGAAAAATTTGCGGCATGAAGTTTCTCGGGAAACAATCTGTAATTGGAAAGCAATTTTTAAAACATACGGTTTTTGCTTTGCATGTTTCAATATGCAGCAATATTCATCCAATTTTTTTTACTCAAGCTTTTTTCCTTCTTGAAGTGAAAGTTACTCATAATGCGTTTGAATAATTACAGCCATTTTCTAGATACGCTTATCAAAAACTTGGAAATAAGGTTATTATCCCTACGAAAACCAGGTGTTCCAGGCACCTGCATTGCATTTATATCAAACCCCTTTCCTTGAGGGTTTGTTCCATAAAACAGAAACCCAGGGGCATTTTTCACTGCAAAATCATGAATTATGTACCCTCGAACAAAAACAATTTTTTTTCAGACATTCTTTTTCAGATAAATCTTTTTTTTAATGATCTATCTTTCCTCAATCATAAAATTTGCAATACGATACAGTATTTTGCTATCATTCAAATACAGTACTCGCAAAATTTCATACGAAAAGATTACCAAGATAATTTCAACAAAAGGATGCCTGTGTAACACAAATGTTTTTTTTTTATTAACCGAGAGTAACAATATTTTCATGCTGTCCTAGGATGAATAACATCTCATTTGAATAAAAATTTCTCATGAAACGAATCCTCAGCACAAAACCTATACCAGTAAATTTCCGTTTAGATTTTCAAAATTACGTTTCAAACCTCTCGCTCTAACTTCAACTCTTTTTTGTGTGAAGGAAGTTAGCTTTCTCAGCTTTCAACATTCCACAAAACAATTTTCCCCACATCCGAAGTTAAAAAAAAAAATTATCAGTTACTTCGAGGATTTTATCGCTCTCGTCATATCTGAAGGAAGAAATACAGTATTGTACTCCAAAAATAAGCAATGATCAGTCCAAGGGTGAAACAAAAATTAATCTCATTTTCTGGGAGGAAGCACTCGACCAAGAAACAGTAATGGACCAGACATCACCAAAAAAAAAAGCAGTATCACTTCCAATATTCAAATCATAATTCCATCTTGCAAGCTCATGACACCGACAAAGCAGGGATTCAAACTTGAAAGGCGTCTGTAAATACTGTACAGTACTGTAGTCGGAAGCCCATAAAGTGCCCCCCCCCCCTCATGCTAATAATAGCCATACAATGAACGAAAAATAAAAATAAAACTGAAATGCAATCTACTCACTCGAATGTTCGCCTCGATGATCTCGGGGTCGTCACACAAGGATTCAACAAAAAACAATTTGTAGCCCATTTTGGTCACAATGACGTCATATATTGTCTGGCGACGTTCTCGAGTCGAATTGGTTGCATCGAAGACCTGGAAATGCGAAGCGAAAATTGGATTGTATATTGTATTGTATTGAAGACATCATCGATGATGAAATGGCTTCTCTTCTGTCAATTATTCACGACAGGCCTTCAGTTGTCACGTCACGATCAATTTATTGTTAAAGTGAGTGAGTGAGTGACTTTCGAAACAATGTCTGACGTGGGAAAAAAATTCCGCTCCTCTGATCAAAGAAGGTCAGACGTACTGACATTCGATTCTATCCTTACAAAAAAAAATGTTTAAACGTCTTGAACGACAGACAAACACCGTTTTTTACGCCTGACGAAATTGTTTTCTTATACCAGCAGACCTTGAAAAGTTCTGGCATGTATCAACTGAATACAAGGTCTATTTTTTCTTTATATTATTGAACCTTTTTTATTCTTAGATCATTAAATACAGATAGAAAAATTTCGTTACAGTGAATCATGAATTTTACCGAATCATTTCAAAGATCTCGGCAGGAACACCGAAGACATAATACTATGAAAATAGTTTGTGATGATGAATTTTCAAAATTGACAGAGAATTTATATTCAGGTAGTTCTATTTAAAAATATAATTTTTCTTCCCGCCTTTGTTGGGGAGAATTGAAGAGGGTCAAACAATTAACTCAAAGAAATCAGCAGACAGATTTACAGACAATAATCAGAAAAGTTTCTATAAATAAGCAGTTTATTTCGATAAAAACCTCTGAATGAGGATTTTCTGGAAATGGGAAAACTTTTTGGATTAAAGTTTGTAAATTTGTTTGTGGTAATGTATTATCCTGGGAATTCTGGTTTGTTAATGTTCGGATTTGGCCAGAAAAAAAAAACTCAGATTTCCACCACAAATTCATTGGGGATTCAAGAAAAATTATAAATTTTTCAATTAATGTTGTCAGAACAAATTTGTTGATGCACTGAAATTTCTTACAGGGTTCGATTTAAGTTTGTTATGACAAGATTAAACCCTTGAATCCTACTTTAAAAGATGCAAAAATTTCAAATTAAAGCATGCAACGGATTCTTTGTGAGTAAAATCAATTTATGCCACCTCTTGTGGAGAGAATGCATTCAGTGAAGGTTCTTTGTCCTCTCCAAAACATTACTGTATTTCGATTTGAAAGCAGTCTTTGCACAACCTTCATGGCAAAGAATCACTAATTTATTTTTATTCCTTTTTATCTTTCCATACTTTAGATCTGTGTTTGAATTTGGATTTGTGCACGCATTCATTTTATTCACTTGTGTAGTGTTTTTAGCGTTCCCTGTGAATTGTGCAATTTCCTTTGCCAACAAATTACGGAATAAATCATTCTAAAAATTTACAAACAAAATATTTGAGGTGTCCCCTTGAATTACTGTATATGTTGTTGGGCATGCACGCCGTGTACATTAATGTACTCTGAACAATTCCTATATAAAAGTATTTCCCCCTCCTCAAAATTGCAGTACCAGGAACATCCTGGCACCTCAGCAAACTTGACCAAATCTTTCTTACTGATTTGTAAAAGTAAGACCATTTTTGCAAAGGTTAATTATTATTGCTAGTACAGTATATAAGCTGCTCCTTTTCATATCATCAGTTATCAGGATCAGTTTATCAATTGTTTTACTCAAATTATTCAGCAAGTTGAGTTTGATTGAGTCGTTATTCACTTATTCCTTGAAATATACTTTACCCTTTAAACTAGGAATTCCTAAACAGAATCCTGGTCCTGTCCCGGACTGAGTATCGTGTTTTATTATCGTTTAATCTCAATAGCACTTGACATCAAATTATATAGAGGCGCATTTGTCCCCCAATATATGTTCTTGGCCAGAAACTGGTTGATTCTTCATCAACCAGCTTCTTTATCAAACATTCTTCCGTTGGGTTCAGGTAATATGCCCAACACTTCCAAAACGTTTATTTTTTTTCCGTGATGAAGCCATGTCAGGAAGCATGGGGAAAAAAGTGAATAAAGAATTTGTAAAACTTACCGCAACTTCGCCGCCGTCATTCTCGAGCCAGTTGCACACGTCTTGCATGCAGTCCATGGCACAACGGGCTCGCATGGCCATGGCCTCAGCATTATCAGAACGGAAGAAGTCGTGAGATTGAAAATCGTTGGTCATCTTCCTTCTATACTGGCCCACATTGAAAACTGAGAAGGGAAACACAGCATAATAATAAAAAAAATTTCTTCGGGCATTCTAAATACACAGGTGGACTCTCTCTCTCTATATATATACATATATATAAAATATCTTGTCTACAACGAATTTTCTCTGCAGGACGATTTTTTTTTCTGGTCCCATAGGATTGCCTCATCCCGGTGCACTTTGACAGGAATTCTCTCTAGATATACAGGTGGACTCTCTCTCACTATATTTATATATATGTATATATATATATCTTGTGTACAAAGAATTTTCTCTGTGGAACGCTTTTTTTCTGGTTCCATAGGATTCTCTCATCCCCATGTACTGGAATTCTCTTTAAAACGAATTTTTTCTGGTCCTTTGATTTTCGTTGTAAAGAGAGAGGGAGAGAGAGAGAGTCCATCTGTATCAGGTCAAAAGAAGAATTCATATAAAACACGTCAAGGAATATAAAAGACGTCAGGGTTTCTGTTGTCAGGGAATTATTTTTCGGACACAATTTTCTCCCAAGGTCACGGAAAAAATCGAGTTAGAAATGAAAAAGTCGTAAAACATTTAGAACAAATTGTGCTGCCAAGGTCAAAAAATGTTTATACGTGAATAAAATTAAGAAGGCGTCCGTTTTGGCTAATCAATATTGTATATGTGCTTTGAAATCGAGTCAATTTAAGAAGATTTTCCGAAATTTACTTTCTCTCTTTCCCGAACGGATAATTATTTGGAGCTGGATTTTAATTATTATTTCAATATTAAATATTGCACCTGATGGCCCAAAACAAATGGTCCTAAATAAAAGGAAAACAGGTCAGTGATTCGATTTTTGTGTGTGCCGGAATGCTTCATTTTTCTTTGCAATTATTTTACATCTTTGACAGCATGGACCATTCCAGTACTGAGTACCATTTCTACAGAAGCGAAATTGCAAAATATGAACATTCGCAGCTCCTTTTCCCACGAAATTGTTTCGCAAGTGTTTTTTTCGGGATACATATTTTTCCTAGAAATATTTACAGTATTTTTTGGCAATAGTTGGGCTTCAATGAATTTTTCGCACCGGTGTGAGATTCTTCGTAATGAACTCCTTCACTGGTTCCAAAATGACATTTTCATGATTATAATCAAGAAATTTACATTTATTTGCAATTTTCTGAAAATGCAATAAAACAATGATTGATGTAAAATAAATTCTAGGTGCTCAAATATCTGGAATCCCAATGTGCCTTTTTTAGTACCGTGAATCTACAAAATTTGACACGCATTAAATCGATTCCATTCAAAATAGTGATTTTCTGCATCCTTCATTTCTTAACCTCTAGCAAATGTAATGAATTACAGCACAGCTTATCTCTGTTCAGAAACAATGTACATTTAATGCAGAAGTAAAAGTACTTACTTCTGGTGTTGATTCCAATCCAGTTCAAATAACGGGTCAATTTGGAGGCAATGTAAGTTTTCCCTCTCGCAGGCAATCCAACCATGCATGAAACAATGTACATTTAATGCAGAAGTAAAAGTACTTACTTCTGGTGTTGATTCCAATCCAGTTCAAATAACGGGTCAATTTGGAGGCAATGTAAGTTTTCCCTCTCGCAGGCAATCCAACCATGCATATCACATGTGGAGTGTTGACATAGTTGACTCTTTCTCCTGCAAAAAAAAATAAAATAAAAATAAGTTAGAAAAAAAGTTGGATGAAAATCAACCAATCAATGTTCATCTTTGAAAAAAAAATTGGCATTAAGAGGATAAGCGTTGCTTTACATAAATTTAAATTAAAAGGCATCAGCAGTTGGCACATGTGTCCATCAACTGCATTTCATCATAATCCCGTGACAATATTTTTTCACTTTGATGTTCAAGTGCACTTTAGGGTCAGGTTGAAAAGGATGAAGAATTTGTCCAATCAATTCATCAGCTGGATGATGAAATACTGTATGCAGTACTTTCATTGTTGCAAAGGTATTTTTTATGAAAATTTGATGAAAAATACTGTCTACAGTCCAAAAGAGTCATAGTACAGTAGCTAGAGCATGAGAGAATTAATGAAATTCATAATCGAAAGAAAAATACAATGCAGCAAATCTTGAAGAGATGCTACGTCAATACATTTCCGAACTTGATGATGAAACATCTTAATGTGAAAATGTGATGAAAAATTGACATTCGTCCAATAAAAAAAAATGCCGTCGACGATGTGTATGATGGAAGAAATCTCTCCAGAGACTGGCAAAATAATTATGATCTGCAAATCTACATTAAAAATACTGCACAGCCAATCTGATAAGTTTTTTCGTCTTGACCCTGAACCCTTGAATATGTGACATTGCAATGAAAAAATATAACATACTAATTCGGATTCACCCAATAAAAAATCAATAAAAAATTAAATACTAAGCTCATGCAACTTGTAAATATTTCTCTAGCTCCAGGACATTATCACAAAATAATATTATATTTTACAACATGATCATTCTCACGACAAAAAGGCCGTCACAGATGCATATACTTACACAGAAGAAATTTATACGGCGACTGCCAAAAAATATTTATGATATACATTTCAAGTACAGTACAGCAAATCTGGCAGGAAGCAAATCTGCTTCCTTCAATGCAGTTATATTCAGCTCTTGAATACAAAGCATCGCAATATTCAGAAAGATTATACAAAAATTCGGATTCCAACAATAAAACTGTCATAAAAATAAATAGTAATCCCATGCAACTCTTGTAACTACGATATGTCTTTAGTTCCACAATATTATTCCCAGAGCGGAACTTGGGAACCAACCAAGGTCAGCCGTTTTTCCTCCGTATTTTTAGAATCTAATCTTGCACATTTCTGGAAGTACTTTCGTAGCAGCTGGTTTTCCTAGAAGTACCCGATTGCTGATCTGGGGGTGAGAAAAAGTACCGAATCTTTGGATCGAATTGACATTGGCCACAAGAGAAAAACAGAACAAAAAATTGAGGGTTATTTTGAATGTGCATGAAGCTGGGAAACTCGTGAAACGTCCCCTTGAGCATAGATTACCATCCGGATTCTTTTTCTTTTTTTTTTTATTAGCTGGTGGAATATTCTGGATATTTTTGACTACGCGAATGTACAGCATTAGGGAATTGCATGTCACAATAAATTCACTCAAGATTTACAAAATCCATCTATGTTTGTCTACATTTTCTCACAGCCGACTTCCACTAAGATGCTCCTGAAAAATACTTTGAGGTGAATTTAAAAAATCAAACAATTTTATACAATTTTCTGGCTGAGCGTTTAAGAACGTATTGAAAAGTAAAAACGTACGTATGCGTCCTAAAAGAAAAGTTTACAGTTTAGAGTGGGTGTAAATTATCTTCACTGCTGAACTTTTAAAACTTACTAACTAGTAATTACTGAATTAATTTCAAGAAGTTAAAATAATTTCGGGGATTTTTCTCAAGGTATTTTTTATTTGGCCGGCGAGGGGAAACTTTGCCGATTTTTGTACGCATAAAACAGAAAAAACAAGAAGATTTTCACATTCTCACAATACTTGATTATTAGTCTTACTCATCTTCCTTCGGAAAAACATGACAAATTTTCTTGAGTCTGTGAATGAACTTTTCAGGTCATTTATCGCTTCATTCGCAAGAAAACAGAAAATATGCAGTGAGTTTTTACTATGTTACTTGCTTTATAGTTAAGCAAGATGAAACCTTTTTACCTGTTAAAGTTTAACAGGTTGGACCGTAAGTAAAACTAATTCGGAGTTGTAAAACGTTTATTAAAAGGTATCGTAACTGTATTTCTTTAAACATGAGAAGCATCAGAAATCTAACTAAACCTGAACACCGAAAAAATATATTCTAAATCCCTCAACAATTTCGCACGCGTAAAAGGCTCGCACACTTAAAACTCCGCGGATTTACCGACATACAGCATACGTAAATGCTCAAACAAATTTCAGCACAAAAAAAGAAGGGAAATCACGGGAAAACAAACGAAACAATGGATAGCAAAAATCAATTTGCAAACGCTTAGTGAAATTCATCCAATTTCTTGATCTCTAAAAAAAAACTTGAATCCTCAATCCATTCCATCGCAGTCAATAAAAAAAGTCCGAAAACCAAAATTTGGCGGAGCAAGAAAAATCTTCGAATTGTGTGGAAAATTCCACTTCTTTCTCCGGTATCAACTTCCCTTGAAATTTTTCAAAAGGGAATGAACGAGAAAAGAATGCGATATACATTAATTTATTGTATTTTCAAGTATTTTACTCGCTTCCTGGGCATGGTAATAAAGTTTATTTTCAATTTCAAAAATTTACTGAAAACATTTTTAGGGCAAAATTAAACTTGGAAATTAATCATCAATGCGGGCAGATGGATGTCGAGTCTGGACGTGGACTTGCAAATATTTTTCAAGCAAAAAAAAAAACACTTTCGCGTGCTCATTTTTTACAAATTGAAGAATCCGTATCGTTTCCATCGGAACCCCGGTGGGTGGGGGAAACAAAATTAATTACCAATGCGAACAGATGGATGTCGAGCCCGGGTCTTGTAACCCATGGCACCTGTACCACAGCACGAGTGATGCGTGGGACCAGCAGAAGACGTCGCGATGCCCGTCGAAGAACCACCACCACTACCACAATTGGCAGAAGGAGGAGATGCGCAATTTGCAGAAACAGCGGATCTGATTCTGCCCGAAGAATGAGTGTCCCGCACGGCACTAGACACGAGAGGAGAACTGCAACCCGCCTGTCTGGGCCCAGAGAAGCACAACGACTGGCTCTGGTGCAGGGACCGGCGCCCGCCAGACCCACTCCGGTTCGCGATCCACTGGAACTTCATGCTTATGACGANTAGTAGATTAAAAAATTAATCTAAAAAACCACGTTTTCAAAAAGCAAAAAATAACCTTAAACGTAGTGCGCATGAAGATTGTTGGGAAGAATGAAATACAAATTAAATAGATGCGCACCACATTTAAGGTTATTTTTTGCTTTTTGAAAACGTTGTTTTTTAGATTAATTTTTTAATCTACTAAATTTTTTTGTGCTTTTTAGTCTTAGTTGAAAAACGTTGTTTTTTAGATTAATTTTTTAATCTACTATAATTATTTAAGAATTTTACTCGCTTCCTGGGCATAGTAATAAAGTTGATTTTCAATTTCAAAAATTTACTGAAAATTTTTTTAGGGCAAAATTAAACTTGGAAATTAATCATCAATGCGAGCAGATGGATGTCGAGTCTGGACGTGGACTATTTTTCAAGCAATAAAAAAAACACTTTCGCGTGCTCATTTAAAAAAAATTGAAGAATCCGTATCGTTTCCATCGGAACCCCGGGAGCGGGGGGTTTAGGGGGAAACAAAATTAATTACCAATGCGAACAGATGGATGTCGAGCCCGGGTCTTGTAACCCATGGCACCTGTACCACAGCACGAGTGATGCGTGGGACCAGCAGAAGACGTCGCGATGCCCGTCGAAGAACCACCACCACTACCACAATTGGCAGAAGGAGGAGATGCGCAATTTGCAGAAACAGCGGATCTGATTCTGCCCGAAGAATGAGTGTCCCGCACGGCACTAGACACGAGAGGAGAACTGCAACCCGCCTGTCTGGGCCCAGAGAAGCACAACGACTGGCTCTGGTGCAGGGACCGGCGCCCGCCAGACCCACTCCGGTTCGCGATCCACTGGAACTTCATGCTTATGACGATGATGGTACCCAACAGGCCAACTCACACACACACGGCTCACTTCTGGTTATTTTCCTCTCGGAAGCGATAACGCTTCTTTCTTTCTTTCTTTCTTTCGTTCCTGTTTTGTTTTTTTCCTGTTCTGCGGGTGATGTGTAAATTACCCCCCTTTTATTTATTTCTTTTTTTCCTGTTTCTCAGTGTGGTGCCCGGATGACAACGGACAGGTTGCGGGGCGACGACTCGGTATTTGATGGTGGTGGTGCAGTTTTGCAGAGGAAAAAAAAAAAAAGCTTCCTGGTTCCGCGAAAAAAAACCAGGTTCTGTTTCCACGCTTGTATTATACAGTAGTACTATTTTTCAACAGACGCTTTTGTTGTCCGCCTGTTTTTTTTTTGTGTTCTGTGGACGCAATTCAAATTTGAAAGAAAAAAAATTAGATATACTCTGTAGAATTTTTTTTCATCATTGCCATGCGAGACTCTTCACGCGATGTTGAATTTTCCGCATCGAATACGACCAAAAATTGACGACTTTTTTTTTTTCCTTTTCAGCACAATGAATTCACGCGGATGCTTTTGGCGTCCGTCACTTTTTTTTTTCTTGGTGTTCTTTGGATACAATTTAATTTGAAAAAAAATAGAGCGTATCTTGTGATTTTCAATTTTCCGCATGAAATGCGACCGAAATACGGAGACTTTTTTCAACACTGAATTCACATAGGTACTTGCGATGTCAGTCACTTTATTTTTGGTGTTCGGAGGACACGATCGAAATTTGCAAAATATACTGTACGATTTTTTTTTTTCATTTATACACTGAGTATTACGAGTTCTCTCGCTACAACGATATTCTCTCTGCAACGATATTTTTTCTGGTCCAATATATTTCGTCGTGGAGAGAAACAGTGAAGTTTTTTTAGTTAAATGCGAGGTATGTGGAGCGATTTTCAATTTTCGGCATCCAAAACGAACAAAAAATGAAGATTTTTCCAACACACTGAATTCACAGGCATTTTTCTGTGTTCATCACTTCACTTGGTGCGCTTTGGACACAGTTCGGATTTTTTTTAATGTATAAATACTGTATTGAATGAACTGTATTTACATGCCAGGATCGTGGCGCGATTTTCAACTTCAATTCTGCAACAAACGCGACCAACAACTGAATGACGGAACTGTGGCAATGACGCGAGGAACTGAAGCGCTCTTTTTTTCACGAGAATGGAAAATTCCATTCCCTTTTTCTGAGCTCTGAAATATTCCAACGACCACGAAAAACTTTGTAAGACAACGGGATCTGTTTTTTTTTTTTCGAATGAATCGTAAGTTTTCACGCACTTTTCCGAGCTTGAAAGTATCGCAAGGTTTAAATTTTTAAAAATAAAATAGGCTGGCAACTTGTGAGCCGCGGATTTCTTATCAGAAAAATTAATCTAAATTTTCGAAGAGAAGAATTTTTTCCACGCGAGGGTCACGACGGAAATTTAGGCAAAAAATCGAGGTACAGTATAATAAAGCCATTCAATTACATTTGGACTGTTTTACGCAAAAGAATTTCTCTCATGTAATTATTCGCTCCTACTCTCGTTATAAAAAAATTCATCTTTCTTTTTTCTCTTCTCTTTGAATTTGTTTATCTTGAAAAATTGATTACTTGGTGCGCGTGTGAAAAGTTTCCGTTTTATCTTTCATGGCATTTTTCTCGTAAAAAAAATAGCATTGCAAAAATAATGTGATGTGCATATTTTTGGACGATAATTATGTAAATCATTGTCGGCTTTTTGCTTATAGCATAAAATTCTACCGAAAGTTTAATTAACGATTTAGTACGCGAAGCATATCTTTTCCTCGCAAAAAATAGCATTATAAAATAATGTGATATGCATATTTCTGGGGGAATAATCATGTAGAATTGTAGACACTTCATTTTTGGCATTTTGCTTCTTGCATAAAATTATTCCAATTTTTCCATAAAAAATATACTAAAAAAATAATTGGATACGCGAAGAATATTTTTTATCTGGATTAAAATTGTAAATATTTTCATATTTTTCGCATTTTTCATAAGGAGCATTCAAGCACGGCATACCTTTTTCATGTTCTCTTTTATTGCGAAAGAAGTGAATTACGGTCGATTAGCGCGAAAGTGCGACCAACAAATGTACACCTACATTGATGTTTTAACTCAAATTAGAAAACCGAAGGTCAAAACAATTAATTTTATAAAGAAAGAAAAACATCCCGCAGAAATAGTTTTGCACTGTCTCGATGAGTAAACAGAGAACAAATCCTCTTGGCAAAATACACAGAGCACAGTTTCGTGTTCCGTCTATTTTGCGCAGTTGGAGAACCAACAGAGAGAAAGAAAATTACTTCCGGTGCTTTAATGACATTCGCTGTCAACGTCGACACGGTCGACATGACGACGACTGGACGACAAACTCCGGCCAACAGGAAGACTATTATGAAGAAAATCCATTTACATAGTTTTTAAAACTCACGTGCAAATAATATCGTTCTGATCTCGTATTTTTCGCATAGCACACAATGTTTCAAAAATTTAACAAAATAATATAACATTCAAAGGAGTACAACACGATGCTTAAATATGATGCTCCAACTCCTGTTTCTGCTCTTGCTCATTATTTTAAAATATTTTTTTATTTTGATAGAAATTATTTTCCGCATAGCAAATTATATTCGCTCGCTTCCGTTGCGTGGCCAAAAATATCTTGCTCGGGACAATAGACCTTAACCTCGGAAGACGAACCACGCAAAAAATTAACATATTTAAAAGAAAAAATTTTGCATTTGACCAGCATGTGGCACAAACGCATCTTTTCTGCGCGGTCTTTAAGTTTTAATATTTTTGTTGCAGAGAACAAAAAAGTAAACAGGGTATTGCCAAATTGTATTTCGATGCAACAAATCGTGCAGCGGCTTTAAAAAATTGTGATTTTTCTTTTGCTACAAAAACAAGGACGGTATAAAGAATTGAAAGTTGTATTTAAAAATACGAACGTACTGTACTCCATTGGAACGCACAATTTTCAATCCACATGAGTCATTTTGAAATTTCAAATCTCCATAAAGAAAAAGGCGAAATAATTGATGATATAAATACGGTATTTAACTTTAGCACGACATCCACCATTTTCCTTTAAAAAAACGAGCTCAATGATGGCGTGAATGCGCACATTTGATAAACAAGCTTGCGAGTCTTATACAACTAAATTGATTTTTTCAACAACAAAATTTGGCATCAAAAATTAGGTTTCACGTCTTACATTATAGGAAGCATAGTATACTTGATTAAAAACGGCACGTTTAGCATAGATAACTTTTAAAAATCTGTACTACCTCGAGTACTTCAATATTCTACTTTTACGTGCGACCAATAAAAGACCTGAAACAGAATTGAAAAAAAAAATAATTCGGCATCGTTATTGGATCGGCTTTCCGATGGCCAGAGGAAAACAGTCGTCACAGCTCATTTGATATGGAAAAATCCCACGGTGAGCAATTTGAGGCTGGAAAGCCACAGGCCAAACATATAATGAGGTTATCAGATAAGCAGAGAAAGAAAGAGATCCATCATCTAGAGAGAGCGAGTGCAACGAACTCTTTAGCAGCCTCCACGTGGCAAAACTCTTTCCATCTTTTCTTTGAGCAGGAGGACATCAATTAAAATATGGTAAACTGAACTGCATAATTTGAGCTTGAACCTCGTTAAAAACATATGTAAATGTATATATAGAGGCTTTCTGAAAAGTTTTCAGAATCTTATTGAGCTTCTCTGGTGGTGGTAAATTTAAATGGATAGGGAGGAGATGCACATGCCATTTCTTCCAGAATAATATTCATTCACTTTCTCGAGACTATTGGACATTGGCTCGCCAAATTTAAAAAAATGTTATGCTCAAATGTGGTTCAAACAAAATTCAACTCAAACCAGGCGTATTACAAAATATCTATTCAAGAAGTTCTGATGATTGCTTAAGTTGGCGTGTAGTTGAATTAATGAAGATGTGAAAGATTTTTACAGAAATTTATTCGCTCATTTTCTTACCTGAACCCCGTTTCAAAATTTGCTCGCCGAAATTCACCAATTCGAATATAGCATACATAAATTTAGCTCAAACCTTGCATAAAAATCATACAGAAGTTTTGAGAATACTGTGCATAGCTTTTTGGAGTCCCCGCGAATTGACGAAAACAAGCACACTTTTGCATAAATATTTTGCATAATTTTCCAACAACTGTCGAAAAATATGCTCGCCAAAATTGCATCGATTTAACGATTAATTGCGATAAATATACCTGAATAAATTAAACCTCCGCCTCGCAAGTAAAAAAAATAACTTCAGTTCAGAAGTTTCGTCAATATTCAAAATTCCGTTTTTGATGTAGAGATGAAGTTTTGCATCAATGACAAAAACCAAAGATTCTCGCAATTTTAGAATATTGTGCTAAGCTTTTTGGAGTCCCGTTAAATTGACGGAGACGAAAATAATGTTTCAGAAATATTTTCCATACTTTTTCAACAACTGTTGAAAAATTTGCTCAACAAAATTCCATCAATTTTACGATAAATTACGGTAAATAACTTCGGTTATTCAGAAGTTTCGTCAATATTCTAAATTCCTTCTTTGATATACAAACGAAGTTTTGCATCAACGACAAAAACCAAAGATTTTCGCAATTTGTGCAAGAAAAAAAATACATTTTATACTAGATAATGCCTGAAATTCTTGAAAGCAACATTAAGAGAAGTTCTCTTAATACACCAGAGGAATTTAAAAAGAGTTCGACTTGATTTAAAATTCAAAAAAAAAATCCCGGCGAAAAATCGCATTGCGACATTACACACGATAAACCTGACAGGCTTGGAAACCAAAGACATCACAATTGACTGCTGCAAAGGGGGGGGGGACACATATACTTAACATACTCTTGGATAAAATAAATAAATTTATACCTAAACCTCGTTATCAAGTTTCTAGATCACAAGTTTTCCTCGATCGTTCGATCTTCTCAATCACTCGTTCGCAGCGGGAAAATACACATTACACCACTGACTCGACAAAAAGAAATAATTTCCTCGGCGCCAGACATCTTTCCACCGAGTTGTCGGGATGGAAACAATAAGGAAAACTAAAATCACAAGTAAATCCAGAAACCAGATACTGTACTAATTTACGCCACACTCGAAACAGCAGCACCCCATATAATAAACGCCTCGCTTAGTGCATTTCCAGCGCTATATATGAACTCGAGCTTCGATTGATTTCCGCTTCGGATAGTGAACCCCATAATGATTAAGCATGAAATATAATTTGTGTTTAAACAAAAAAACAACCTCTGCCAACAATGAACAAATTTTCGTAAATACTGTATTCTAATTACTTTTCCGAGTTCATTAATGAGTCATTTAAGAGTGTGATGATCATCGTGATTTTCCGCAAGTTTTGAATGTTGCTGAGCGTCTAAAAATTTGAAGAAAAAAATAATATACAGTACCTTGAAAAATGTTTGAACCAGTCGGGTTAAATCAAGAAGATTGTACAGTATTCATTTGATTTTTATCCGGGGCTCGGAAAACAAACATCACTCTTCTTTATTTGCCGAGTGATATCGAAAATTTTTTGTTTTCCGAAGAAAATATCTGCCAGCATTTCAAATTTTAATTTTTTCAGCTGCATTACGTAATATGGTAATAAGCAACTGAAGAGAGAAAATGTTTGTGGATTTCTGTTGAGCTTCAGTTCTGTCAAGAGTCCGAAAATGTAATCACAATCGATAATTTTACCCGATTTGTTTAAATTTGTCCTGGAACGATTCGAATAAACTTTAAAAATGTTGAAAACTAAATCAGTATTTGTTTTATTGTTGTATTTTTTTTTGCTCGGAAGCCAGAAACCCCTCTTTTTTTCTTTTTAACGATGACAAAAATCACCGTCCAATCAATGCGAAGTGAGATGCACGTGACTGATCAGTGTTGGGCGAGTGCGTGCAGAAATTTTAGCATGTGAATGCTGAGTGACAAACCACAGACCGAATCCCCTGTGTTTTCATCAGAAAGTAATAAAAATCAGCAATTAAGGTAGAAGTGTACTCGGGGGAAAAAAAGAAGGAATTCACAAGTGGAAGTGAGGAAACGTTCAAGTTTATTGTGCAAAAAAAGGGGGGGGCGGATGATCAAGAGAGATAATCAATGTAACTTGCTTCGAATGGTCAACCCACAGAATGATTTTTTTACACGCACAAGTGCCAAGCTTTTGTTAATCAACTTTTTTTGTTCATTATTTCGATTTTTAAAAAATACCAGAGGATAAAGTGGGGTTTACTCGTCAGAGAACTTTCAAACAGTTCTTACTTTTAATAACCCGAAAAAGTTACTTTACAGGTCTAAACTTATAAATGCGAGTTGCTTAGTGAAGGAATAAATGGAAAAGAATCGGCATAACTTTTGAAAGTTACATTCGAAAAACACGAGATACTTTCGGAATCGGTTTTAGATATGCGAAAAAAGTTTCAGAGGAATTTGGAAAAACTGCTGCAAAATAAGCAAAAATTATTACATTGCTGCCTGTTCCAAGACTTCTAAATTTTTTCTCGGAAATTGTGAACGATGATAAAATTTGAAAGGAAATAGTTGTTAAAGTAATGACGATTTTCGACAGAAAAAATGTTGAATACGAGTATTTTTGGGTTGGCTATTGAAAAGCAGAAACATTTTTCAACCATCATGTTTCTTAAGACAGTTCCCAGCTATCATTTCAAAACTTTGTCATATCGAAGTTATTTCATTACCTTACAAACATCATCCAAGTTCATGATTTAGTATGACCAGAAATAACTATTTTGAAGATTATCCCCAGGAGAAATATGTCTGATGTTTTTTTAGTGTTAATGAGAGATCCTACATAGATTGTCTTCTTTTACAGGAGGACTTGAATTATTTCCAAGCACCAACTCAAATATATTTTAGAATTTTACGTATACAGTATTTTGGGATTTAGATAGTGCAAAAAAACTGCGAACAGCAGGAAACATAATTTACATTACAGTATTTGAAGTGGTACTCCTGGGTTTCCTAATTTTTTTCAAACGTTAACAACTTTTTTTCTGAATAATGGAAATAAAAGGCTTGATGATATTGCCGCAGATTTTATTCCGGTGAGAGTTACGAGATTCAATTTTTCTTTGAAATTGCGACGCAAAATTGAGTTTATGAAAATACTGTATATTAATTATTCAATTCAGCCCTCAATATATAAAATTTAATCCTCTCGAAAATTTTACGCAGAATTCCACAGGCAGATTAATTTGTTGCATTATTGACACACGGGTGGAGTTGGTGGGATACAATTTCCAAAGCGGAATTCCGAGAAGCTTGGGAAATCATTTCCGCATTATTGTTGTGTACCCCGCCCTTCATTCATCCCTGCTCGACATACCGAAAACAAAAGCAAAAATATGCATACTCTACTCCTAAATATTTTTTTCAAGCTTCCATTTTATAGGGCTGAAAATTTCTTCAGAATTTTCTTTTCACTCTCCGCCCGAAATTCCAGACGCGTTTTAAAGCTGAAAAGTTCAGTACTTGAAACATTTTTGGAGTTTTAAATATTCTTTTCGTTTTTGTCTCCGGGAAATTCACTCCGTTCGTCTTTCGCCTCCAATTTGCAAAATAAATGTACATATTTTGCAAAAACAAAAAATTCCAAGTCCATGCGGTTCGTTGAGATCGTTTGTAGTGCGAAATTCTTCCGTAAATTCTCGAGGACCCTGCGAAAATTCCCTGGAGTAGTCGCACATGTTCAGTTTAAAAAAAAGTAAAAGGTATATTTTTAAAAATAAGAAAATCTGCTATTTTTAAATCCACCAGAATGAACTTCACATTTGCGCCGAGGGAACTCGAGTTTTCCATAATATCAAACAACTAAAACATCTGGATCGGATTTCATAATTCTAGCTGACTATCAGGAACTGAATTTCGTATTTTCACAGGAAATTTTCCGATTCATCGGATTTATAAATATTGCTGTTCAGTGTTCACTAAAGAAATTATTCATCACCTAATCTCAAAAATTAAGAAGAGGAAGCCTTGAAGATCGAACAGCAGTTGAATGGGGTAAGTATTGAGATTAATGCGATCAAAATGTTTAAATATTGTATCAAATTAAATGCATCCAGAGGGTTTGAACACTGCTGACAAAAAAAATTGAACTGGTGAGGGTCAGATAACTAAAAAAAAAAATTAATATGAAGCAACACTTGAGTACAGTACTCTAAGACGTCAGAAACTAAACTGACAGCATATCTAGAATTTTGACACATACAGTACCAAAAACCTTTCAAGTAAGGATACCTCCTGCCAAACATTTCGAAAGATTATATCGG